TGTCTCGTTGTGTGTTGTTGCTGTTTGTGGTTGTCTTGTTGTGTGTTATTGTCTTGATGTGTGCGGTTGTTTTGCTGTTTGTGGTCGTCTTGTTGTGTGCGGTTGTGTGCGGTTGTCTTGTTGTGTACGTTTGTCTTGTTGTGTATTGTTGTTTTGCTGTTTGTAAATGTTTTGATGTGTGCGGTTGTCTTGTTGTGTACGTTTGTCTTGTTGTGTATTGTTGTTTTGCTGTTTGTAAATGTTTTGATGTGTGCGGTTGTCTTGTTGTGTACGTTTGTCTTGTTGTTTATTGTTGTTTTGCTGTTTGTAAATGTTTTGATGTGTGCGGTTGTCTTGTAATGTGCGGTTGTCTTGTTGTGTGTTGTTGTCTTGATATGTGCGGTTGTCTAGTTTTATGTGGTTGTCTTGTTGTGTGTGGTTGTATTGTGTGTTTTTGTCTCGTTGTGTGTTGTAGCTGTTTGTGGTTGTCTTGTTGAAAGTTGTTGTCTTGTTGTGTGCGGTTGTTTAGCTTTTTGTGGTTGTCTTGTGGTGTGCCATTGTCTTGCTGTTTGTTGTTGTCTTGTTATGTGTTTTGTCTTGTTGTGTGTTGTTGTTCGTGTTTGTCTTGTTGTGTGTTGTTGTTGTTCGTGTTTGTCTTGTTGTGTTTGGTTGTCTAGTTTTGTGTGGTTGTCTTGTTGTGTGTTGTTGTCTTGTTGTGTGTTGTTGTCTTGTTGAGTGTTGTTGTCTTGTTGTGTGTGGTTGTCTTGTTGTGTGTTGTTGTCTTGATGGTATTGTTGTCTTGTTGTGTATGGTTGTCTTGACGTGTGTTGTTGTTGTTTGTGGTTGTCTTGTTGTGTTTGGTTGTCTAGTTTTGTGTGGTTAGGATGACGGGCAGTGATGATGATGATGACTTTTGGGTTTAGAGTCGGTAGACATTTTACTTTATGCTTAAAGGAAATAAATGAATGATGTTTTAACTGACATACTGTTCCGTTAAACCCACGTGCCCTATCAGTCAATAAATAAAATGGCAGCAACACGTTCAAATGAAGCTTTATATAGCCCAGAAGAAATACTCATGAAATACTCATGAAAGGAACTGTGGCTATAAAATACACAGCGCCAATACAATCCTTGTTGTCTTTTCCTCTCAATACAACTTTTATTCACTTTACAAATGTTCAATGAATTATTAATTTCATTCCGGCTTTAAAATGGTTTCTTATCCATACAAAAAAAAATTCAATTTAAAAAGAACGCGAATGTATTCAAATAATCGTGAATTTTAAAGCAGGGTATTACTCTTAAATATTTAAATCAAACATGCACTATTCATCATTTTGGGTAGAAGAAGTAGAATTAAAAATCGGGGGCGAGGGAGACTTTCGGGTGATAACATTATTTAGGGGATGACACCAATGTTTTTTTAAATCATAAAATTTGCTGTCAAAACAATGTTTTATCTAACTAAAATTCTATATAATATATTCGCTGTCTGTGTATGGATCTATCTGTGTATCTATCTATCTATCTGACAAGAACGCTCTAGAGAAAACACAAGCAAATTAAAAACTTTCATATTAATACGGAAACGAAATATGACGTCACATTGGAGCATATAGTAGAAAATAATCTCAAGCCGGAGAGTGCACACTGTAATATGACGTCATTGATTCTCGAGTAAACATTGAATTAAAAAGCCAATTTTGTCTAATCTTAAAAGTGGTTTGCGTGAAGAGTTTCTTTCATACAATTCTTCGGGTAGGGGTGAAGCCCATCCCCCGCGTAAAAACGTCTAAGCCTATCCCCCCACCCCCCCCCCCAACTCAAAAGAAATGTCGTCATCGATACTCTATGATAAAATTACAGCCTAATTCATGTGTCTAATCTAAAAGGTAGTTTGCGTGCAGAGTTTCTTTCATGCAATTTTTCGGGTAATGGCTTAGCCCGACACCAGTGTTTCTTTCAGACGTTTTCCTCCCCGGTGGGGGGAACTTTTTCTAATCTAAAAAGTGTTTAGCGTGCACAATTTTTTTCATGCATCTCTTCCGGTAGGGGCGAAGCCCCGCCAAGGTTCTTCCTTTAGTTTGTATGATCTATAAATGCGACCAGTGTTTCTTTCAGACATTTTCCTTCCCGGAGAGGGGTGGGGGTACTTGAAATTTTTCGGGGGCGTGGGTAAAATTTTCTGGGAGGGGGCGGACACTGGAAAAAGTATATAATTATATTTCGTTGAATGGGACGGTAGACATGTTTTGGAGTGTGTGTGTGTGTGTGGGGGGGGGGTGGTTTTAGTTTAGAAAAAATAGACAGCACTATCAACCTAGCGCCCGTTGTATCCTTCCTCAACGGGCAATTTTTCTCGTAATAAAATAATAAGGGAAAGTGATGAAATCAAACCAAAAAGTGCAGTTGTCTGAGGTAAGATAAGGATGACACCCTGAGATACATCACCGAGTGACACCCGAACTAGTAACGCCACTGGGTAGAGGAAGAATACTTTTCATCTAATTTGTTTCTTATTTTGATTCCCCCCAACGTAGGCCTATCCTCCACGTATCCTCCAGGATGAGCAACTGTGACAAGATGGACGGCGTGAGTAGTACTCACCCTGCACGTGCTGGTCACGTGACCACCGTCTGCTGGTCTGCTTTGGGCAGACGCTGGGCACTATGCCCATTCGCCTTTATTTAACCTAACGCGCGTTAGGAACCTAACAGAGCTGTCTGGACTCAATGAAGTTATGTTGATTTGTACCCCGATTTGAACTCGTGACTTTCGAAGCTAGTAGTTTAGCGCTCTACCCATAATTATGTTCTCAGACACAGTTAATTTTTTAATGCCAGTAATTCCGATTGTAAAGAGATTCATTTCACACAGAATAATTCAACAAACACACTATATTTAGAAAACGCTATTTTATTTCAACGTTGCTTCAGTCACTCCACAAGAAGGCTAAGATACCTTTTTATACATACGAGCTGACCCGCGGCGTATCATATGCCGCTATTTATTTTCTACTTTTCAGTACTTCATGGTTTGTGAATTCGACACTACCCTTAGCTCACCAGTTGGTTTAGGTGGCAGCTATATGCCTAGATAGCGGGGGATTAACGGCGTGCATTTACGTGGTGTCTCGCGTGGTCTCCATGAAGAGAATTATATATATAGACTAGGCATTCTGCCTAGCTTCGCTTAAGGTTTTTAGAAAAACATTTGAGAATTTGAATAATAAATTATTTAGTGATGGCTGAGGTGTGGAGTGCTTAAATTTAAACAGTAATGCAAATTTTAGAGAAAATGTTGTTGTTTGTTGTGTAAGGTCCGTTTTCAAAAAAATTGTTGGAAAGTTCGCAATGTATGACAAAATGGAATTAGAACTACAGAGGTTCCATGAACAGTATATCTAATAATTTATATTACATTGACTTTTAAAATCAATTAATTTATTTAATAAGTATACGTACTTTATATAACAACTTATTTTTTACTAAAACAAATGCTATACTTCGTCATTTTCTCTTTATGTTTAAAATGGTGTACAATTGTTTGAAAAATAATTGTTATAAAAAAGTTATCCCCTTTGAAAATTGAACGAATGACGTATGTCTTTGTTTACTTTTTTTTTAAACAAACAATTGCTATGCTTATATAAGAAAATATGGTATCTGGACATATTTAACGACCATAATGGCTTTTTTCCGACGGGAATAACGTTTTTTGTTACCATCCAGGGTCGGTCTACGACCTCACAAAATATCAGGTGGAACGTTAGGCCATTCTTTTTATATAGCTTATGTACGGAGAGTGTCACAGGTGGTCACTTTTTAGCCCTCGTCGAGGGCTTTGAGTCAAACTGACAGGTTTGCCCTACAGCCAGTCCATATACCTATAAGCATGCAAAAAATTGGCCAGATATACTGAGCTAAGTAACCTAAAATCCTCGTTGAAATGACCCTCTGTTTTTCCCATAAAATACAAAGATTATATAGGGAAATACGACTGGTCAGTTTTTACCCATTTCCAGATTTTTCCCGGACATGGCAAGTTTTTTCTGACACCCATAGTTGTTCTCCTACCACCTCACAGAATATCAAGAGGGGTCGTTCCGGCAAAGGCGCCGGTCAGTCGAGGTCAGTTTTGACCCCTCTCCGTGGACTTTTCGGCCAACCGTCACCGGCACTCGGGTTATATCACTCCAAGGCACCATCATGCCGAATTTGACGCGCCTGCGGCGCCTGGAAGTGCCCTATCAGGCAGCTGACCACTTTGCTTTATATATATAGATATGTTCACTGGGCAAATGTTCGACGCATATACACTAGCAGGATACGTATTTGAACTGGATGAGCTCAGTAAAGTTGTTGCTTAAATAGACTATAGTTGCATCTGACCTCATCACTAATGCTCCACTAATACTACCTCACTATCATCAATTCCTGTAGAATTATCACATCGTACCGCTACTCTTCCTCTAAAAATATCTCGCCTTCATCATTAGTCCACTAGATTTACCTCATCTTTTCATAGAGTATTAGAATGAGATCTATATCTCACCTCACTTTCTCTCTATTGTTTATGGAATGACCTCACTATCTTATCACTAGCGTGAAGAATGACTCATTTTCTCAACATTATTCTTAAAATGATCTCACTTTATCATCATTAGCCCATACATGAACTCACTATTTCAACATTATTCATTGAATGGTCCCACGTTCTTACCATTAGTCCTTAAATGATCTCAATATCTCACCTTTCGTTTTAGAATGATCTTACTATCTCACCATTAGTCCTAGACTTATCTCACTATCTCATTTCTGACATCTTGAATGTCCTCAAAATCTCATCAATGTCATAAAAAATTACACCACCGTCTGAATTACCAGTCTTTTAGACAAAAAACATACCCACTTAGTAAAAGGTATTTATCAAATTCTACTCTAAAAACTAAATCCAAATCTAACAACTATAATTAACTTCTCTAGGTTTGAATTTCCAAAGACGCCAAAACCTTCCACCTACTTGAATATCATTTTCTTGAGAACTTGTTTATATTTACTGCTCATGAAGTAATAAACAAAGATGTTAACTGAAGCGTTCACAGTTTCAGCCAGATACAGTATCGATACCGACACTTTGAATAGGTTACTCTCCTTCCCGTCAAATCGAATCTCTGGGTCTATCAGCATCCATAGGAACAAAATCTCACATGGTAGGTAGCAGATGATGAAGATTATAGAAATAAACATGACCATTTTTTCGACTTTTTTGTCCTTGTTGTTCGAGACTGTTTTATTTCCAGTTGACGTTTTCCGCCATGTTGCTTTTCGTTGTAGCTCGAATACAATGATGAGGGTCGTGACGACGATAATGATAAAAGAGGAAACCGGGATGATGTTGTTGACGATGGACGAGATCGATTCCATGTACCCGCGTTGGTTATTGTAGGTCATAACAAGCAGCGAGCGATTCCGATACAAGGAAAATTGGGTTGTCAGACTGGCTGTAAGGTAGATTGGGAGTATGCTTAAGTAGGAGATGGGAAACAAGGCGAGGACTATGATCCAGGTACGGAAAGGCGTCAGGATGGACTTCACCTTCAAGGGCAAGGCGATGCAGAAGCACCTCTCTATGGAGATGAAAGCGGTGAGGCTGCACGTGATGCGGCTGAACCCGACGTGACCCCACCCGACTGTTAAAAACGCCACGTCATAGGGTTCAAATGGCAGGTTGAGGTTATAGAACTCCGGCGTCTGACAAAGATTAAACAAAAATAACGTCAGCAAGGAAAACAGATCGGACATTGTCAGACAAATCAAGCTGATGTTGACGGTGTCCCTGAAGCCCATTTTGATGAAGACGTAGATGCTGAGCATGTTGGTCAGGATCCCAAAGACGTTGATGGCCTGGCCAAGACTGACGTAGTTGACGAAGAAGAACACGGACGCCAAGTCATCACTAATTACCTGCCTGTGGCGACCATGCAAAGGTTTGTCAGTTGAATTCGTTAATGCATTTAATTCAGCCATAGTAATCAACGCTGTTGTCTAATTTGGAAACTGGGTATTAACACAGCCTTGTCTGATAGTCTTATCTAATATTTTTTTAAGTTGGTAGATTTAACAAATCTGTCTAATTTATACATGTTAACATATATTGTCCATTGTTTCAAATTTTAACAAATCTTTGTCCAATGTATAATTTTTATCAAATCTTTGTCTTAATTTATAAATGTTATCAGACCTTGTCCAATATTTCAATATTATCCAATGAATACATTTTAACACAATTTTTACTTTCTCGTATATACGAAGTATAGAGAAAGAATTGTAATCGTGCACAAAAAATCGAGATTTTTACAATTCTCGACGTTTTACACCTCACTGATACCGAAAAAAATAATTTTGCAATCTTGTCCGTATGTCTGTGTGTCTGTGTGTGTGTGTGTGTGTCTGTGTGTAAACACGATTACTTGAGTACCGTTACAGCTAGGTTGATGAAATTTCATATATAAGTATTTTATCAAAATCGTAGATCCGTATCAACTTTTGAGTGATTTCAGATAACCGGAAGTGGTACTTTTTCTACTTTGAATTTTTCAAAAGCCTATAACTTGAGTAATATTTCAGATAGATAAATGAAATTTCATATGTAAGTAAAAGATTAATTTCTCTACCTTCTTTCAAATTTTGAGTAATTTCCGTTGACCGGAAGTACTAATTTACGCTATTTCCGATTTCTCAAAAAACGCATGTAAATTTATAAAGTACTAATAATATTGCGCACTATTTTGCACATTTTGTTTTGGCGTTCGCTTGGTGCGCGATTCTTTTTTCAATGAGATTCTATTCTTTTTTTAAAAGTTTAAGTAATTAAAAATCATGTCTATATTCCAAGTTATATAAGAATATTCGAGAAAGTTTAGGGGAGATCACTCTCTTATGTTGTAGTTTTAAGATATCTTTATACCATGTTTAATCTTAAACACACAGCCTTGACTAATTTGAGCGTCTTCCACAAGTTTTGCATAATGTGGAATGTCTTAAGGCATTTGTTTAATGTGGTATGTCTTAAGACATGTGTCGCACAAGAAACCAAACCGTTCCGTAAATGGTTGCATAAGTTTTCTTAGCGAGCTGACTGGGTTACCCTAACTTGGCGACACCTCTTTACATTAATCTACGTAACAATTGACCTTATTTAACAGTAAATATCTTTAATAAATAGTAGATGTATCCACCAGTTCTTTTCGTGGTATAGATGGACCGACGATGAATTGTTTTTATAGATTACGTTTAACTTCTAATTAAATGAAAATAAAAACACACTGTTTTTAGTTTATTCCCAATCCAAACGGTTTAGTTTTTGAAAACACAGTCGAATTGCAACACATTCAGACATTTTCAAATGAAAAACATCTTTGTTCCGTGTAAATGTTAAATGTCCATGATTAGTTTACTACTACTACACTAAATTGGCTACCGAATACAACGTGGTACAACCAGCAATGGTTAAGCGTCCAGTAAATTCTTTAATTTTTAATCAGTCATTTAAAAAAAAAAAGAGTGTAATTGTAAGCAACAATATATCTTTCTCTTTGACCTTTTTACCCCAGACATCAACAGGAATTATCCCGTACGTCAAGGAAAGAGATTATCTATCTCTAATACCGATCTATCACAGTGCGATCCTGATTATTTTCGCTACGACAATAAATTTAATTTATAATTTAAATATTATGTATAATATTTGCCATCCTGTTCAAATTATTTTAAAAAATAATTCAGTATTTGTCATGTTTGTTTAGTTTTACACATTTTCAAGTAGTTAATTTGTTAGAATACACTTTTAAATGAAATTCTGAAAAAAATTATCTGAAAAGTTTATGTAAACATGCAAGAAATGCGATCTGTTAAAGTTTATTTATTAAGTTATGATTTGCACTAAGTCTAACATATTGACCCTCATGTTACCGAAAGTGAAAAACTAGGCGAACGTCTTTGAGAATCCCAATATTTGCACTACTTATAATTGTTCTAATTACAAAAATTTGGAATAATTAAAACTTCGATAATTCGCTGTGGTTCGTTTTCCGTTGTATGTCATTAGTGATAATGAAAACAAACATTGCGTAGTACACTGATCTAATTAAGAAACGTGTCTGTTTCCCTAAGTCTTTAAATCAATGACGTGGAATTATATTAATTACTGCTTGCTAGATTCTAATTAAAAAATTAGATTGGTGGATCAGAGAAATTAACAAACTGTAGGCCTAATTATTTTGTTTTTCTTTAATTTGTAATTTATGTTCATGGAGATATATGTATGGTATAGATAAACTGAAATGGAGTAATTAATAGTGAAATTAATAATTGAAGGGGTGGGTGTGGGGGTGGGGTGTAAGTGAGTGAGTTTAGCAGAGATGGGAGGGGCTGGGTTTGGCAGGTTCGTTTGGATGTGTCAGCTTTACTTACACTCATCAATATTATCTTCTTACTTTATTTGTCTTGCTGGTTTTTTTTGTTGTGTTTTTTTTTTGTTCTCTTGCTGTTTGTGGTTGTCTTGCTCTTTCTTTTTATATTGCTGTTTAAGATTGTATTTCTGCTTGTGGTTGCCTAGCTGTATATTGCTGCCTTGTTGAATTTAATTGTCTTGCTGTTTCTGGTTGTCTTGCTAATTGTGGTTGTCTTACTGTTGCTGATTGTCTAGCTGTTTCTGATTGTCTTGCTGTTTCTGATTGTCTTGCTGTTTCTGATTGTCTGGCTGTTTCTGATTGTCTTGCTGTTTCTGGTTGTCTTTCTAATTGTGGTTGTCTTACTGTTTCTGATTGTCTTGCTGTTTCTGATTGTCTTGCTGTTTCTGGTTGTCTTGCTAATTGTGGTTGTCTTACTGTCTCTGATTGTCTTGCTGTTTCTGATTATCTTGCTGTTTCTGTTTGTCTCGTTGTTTCTGATTGTCTTGCTGTTTGTATTACTCTCTCTGGTTCTCTTGCTGTTGCTGATGTAGCCAAGTAGAGATGCCAGATGTTGCCATGTTTATGTCTAAAAAACCAGACCAACACCTTAAAAAAAACAGCATGACTTTCTAAACAAACTGTAGTTTTCTACGAGCCGGCCAGTTGGTAAGTTTTCTTATTTAAAAACATCAACAGTTTCATGTAAGTCATTTATTTTTATATTGCTACTTCCGCTTTCGATTCCACCTCGATATTTTTTTTTAAATGTCATTATTCATATAAAGATTGACCACGTGACTCCCGTAACCCAAACAACATTAGAATAATTATTTCTATATCATGAAGAAAACAATCACACAACCCCCCACCCCCAACCCCTACCCACGGTTCTGTACTCTGACCATCACTGATACATCCCCGAGCGAAAGATCCTATTCCAATTCAATTATAGAGATTGCCCATGGAGAGATTCCTCCGCTCGTGTTGCAGAAGTGTGTGCACGTCTGCAAAGAGTTCTGCTGGCTCCAAACATCACGTGCTTGTAGCAACCGAACTTTTTTATTCGTGATTTTTAAATGGCTATTTGGATTGTTTTGAGATATCCATACATACGTGGACAAAACATTGTTGTTCTTATATTTGCCATATTGCTTTCTTTCTTGAGCTCTAGATATAATTCCAACGCTAGCTCCCATCTTTCATTTTATGGAACTCATTTCTGAACTATTTCTGATCATAAAGTAAAGTTCCCTTTCAAACCTGTCTATATGGCAAGTGACCTCGGCATATGAAGAGATAGTGTGGTCAGCACTATGCCCAGCCGCCTTTACTTTTCCTAACATGAGTTAGGTACCCATCAGAGTTGGGTGGCCTCAGGGACTGTCTACTGACTTGAACCAGGATTCGAACTCGAGAATTACGGATTAGCAGTCCAGCTCTCTACCGCTAGACCACTCCGTCCCCTATTTCTGATCCTAACCACGAATCTAACCCAAACCATAACCCAAAAAGAATTCTTCCAGACATTAAAGCTTAAAAACAAATAAATATTGCTATATCGTATTTAAGGATTTTTTTTCTGGTAAGTTTGAACAAAATAACTGTGTTAGAAGTGGGTCAACATTGTGTTGCAAGTTTTGTCCACAAATCAACAGAAGTACAGACGTACTGACGGACGAACGAGTGGGCAGACAGACCCAAGCAATTAATCCTTGACCCTAATCCTTATCATTCTAGCTTTATCCACAATGCAACCCCTACTCTAACGGCAATAAATAATTGTTTCATCTTTTAAAACAGTATAGAGCACCGTATTTCTTGATAAATTTAAATGACAAACTTCAAATATTAAATTTGATTGTAGAATTCAACAAGTAAGCTAAATTGAAAGCTTTTTAAAAGACCACAGTCTGATTTGAAATTCTGACTTTGATGTTAACGACAAACCAACGACACCATTGACGTCAAAGACGGCAGACGTGTATGACTCCCGACTCAAACACAACCAGCCATTTTCTCCGTAGGAGGTAACTCACCCACGCGCGTGCCGGTGTCTATCTACGTCTCGTCTCGCCAAATCTCGGACTTAAGTGAGAACTCGAGTCTCCTACCGTTCTTCGTTAGTCCGCACGTGACCAGACGCCCCCTTTTGTGTGACGGTCTAGAAACGTTCAACCCAACCCGAAAACGAGGAAGCTGTGTCGATTTTTTTTAGAGCCCTGCATTTTTTTTACTTCTACCACTGAAGATCTATAGAAGAATGCCAAGACTTCTAACCTAATTCCCCTTGGTAGTCTCCCTTACCCTTGGTTGTCTCCCTTGACCAAGTCATGGACAAGGGCGATGTAATTGGGTTTGATCTATTGTTCAATACTTATAAAGAGATTTGTCCTTCCTTCGTGGGTGAGGCGTTCATCGCTGAGAACAGGGGCGGTAACTTTTTTTTCTCGTCTCTAAAATGTTAAATCTATGTTCTTGCACTTAGCACGACGTATGTAAGACATAGAGATCTGGAATCTAGGTCTTGCCATTGATTTGTACCCATATACTATATTTTTTTTCCATTGTGGGTAC